TTATGCTGCATTAGGAATCCTGGCATTCCTGGGTTTCTCCTGCATTAGGAATCCTGCCTTTCCCGGGCTTATCCCGCATTAGGAATCCTGCATTTCCTGAGTTTCTCCTGCTTGAGGAACCCTGGCTTTCCTGGGCATATCCTGCATTAGGAACCCTGCCTTTCCAGAGTTGTTCCTGCATTAGGAACCCTGGCTTTCCCGGGCTTATCCTGCATTAGGATTAGGAACCCTGGCATTCCTGGGCTTATCCTACATTAGGAACCCTGCCTTTCCTGGGTTATTCCTGCATTAGGAACCCTGCCTTTCCTGGGTTATTCCCGCATTAGGAACCCTGCCTTTCCTGGGTTATTCCTACATTAGGAACCCTGCCTTTCCTGGGTTATTCCCGCATTAGGAATCCTGGCTTTCCTGGGTTATTCCCGCATTAGGAATCCTGGCTTTCCTCATTTCCTCCCTGTCCTCTGCTCCCCGAGGTTCCTGCTGACTCTGTGCTTGCGGGAGCTCTGCTCTCACAACTTCTGGCCACGTTTGGCTGCACGTGTTGACTGCAGAGAGTGTTTCAGCAGACTCCTCCTGGCTCTACAGAGCCTCAAAGCATTTGGTTTCTTGGCAAGGGGGGTCAAATTTAGGAAAAAGAAAATTACCCTCTGGAAAGGAAAGCAATTTATTTAAAATATACATTCAACACCGTTGTCTCTGACTTTAAAAAGGCTGCTTGTTAGGAGATCTTTATGGCTCTGCTGGGATCTGCAGGAAGCAGGGCTGCTTGGGATGCAGGGAAATATTTATTCTGTTTTCACTCTGCCTGTTACACTTGCTGAATTCTTCCCTCCCTCCTTCCCCTCATTAATCCAGAGCCATTTCTCAGTGGTGCTCCCTCTCCCGGGCTCTGCCAGACCACCTTGCAGGAGGACAGTTGGGATTAGTGCTCCCGCTGTGCCACGGCTTGAATTCCACGAAATGGGCTTTCCCAGGCCGGCTTAGGGATCTCTGGGAGTCCCTGGAACGGAGCAGCAATCAGAAGGGAGATTTTTATCCCGCCCAGCTCTAATTACGTGCCTGCATAAGGTGAACCTTCTAATGAGCATCAAAAGGCTCATTGTGCCTGTGGGGAAGGGATGGGGGTTATTCGCTCCTTCAAAAAGCGTTTGGTGAAAGCAAATGTGCCAAAAATCTCCCTTGTCCTCCACGTTGCCTCATTTTCTCTGCAAAGCCCTGAGCTGAGCCCAAGCCTTCCTTCCTGGGAAATCCAGGCTGGGAGCAGCTCCTGCAGTGCTGGATTTTGCTCCCTGCCCACTTTTCCGAGCTCTCAGAGAAGGTTAGCAGGGTGAGGTGAGGAAACCAGCCCTGCAGAGCTCAGGGAGATGGGCAGAGACATCCCCCAGTGTTTACTTGTGTGGAACCCTTCTGAGAAGCCTTTTCCCTCAGAGGAACAGGAACTAACCCATTAAATACCTAGATGGTATTTTTGTAACTTTTTTTTTTCCAGTTGTACGGAAAATTGCAGTTCAGGGACACTTTCCTTCCTTCTGGGAACTGCTCAGCAACTTTTAAGCAGGGATAACTGAGGGGAAAACATGAGATCAAGTTTTCCTACCTTCCCAAAATGGACTTGCTGTAAGCAAGGACTACTTGTTCCTCCTTGCCTTGAAGCCACGTTCCATCTCATGTGGGCACAAAGTGGGACAAATTCAGAGCAGAGCATCTTCAGCATTGGGGAAACCTGGTTATAAATTGATATCAAAGTCTTTTCTGTGCTAATGGGATTTTCAGTTTCAGCAGCTCCTCAGTCTCCAGATCCTAAGTTGTCTTTTCCATGGCGCTCACCCAGCCCTTCCCCTGTTCCTTCCTTGGACTTTGGAGGGTTTCCTGCTCGTTAAAGTGTTATCCAGGCTTGGCAGTCCTGGGAGGCTTTGGGCTTTCAGTTATTTTGCACTGCTGCTCCATTAGTCCCACAGATTTTAGGCAGGAAGGAAAGGTATGTCAGAAATGGGCAAGATCCAGCTGAATTCAGACCCAGGGTTTGGGTTTCTGCACTAATGTTGCTCTCAGATGCACCGAGACCTGGCAGGTTTGCTGGGCCCTCATTTGGTGGGAGAGCTCAGAGGGGAAACCTCAGGAGGACCCAAGTAAAGTTGAGCCTGGCCCTTTTCCCAGCAAACTTGGTTTTAAGTTCCCTGAAGTCTTTACTGTCCCAGTCCTGTGTCCAGACTGAAACCCAACTTCAGCCTGGCTGAGATGTCTCTCGTGAAGGACAGTTCTCTAATCCACAAGGTAGAAACCAGACACAACCCTTCGTTCTGTAGCCACCTATTGTCACTTTTCATGGGAATTAGGAGTAGATTTAAGCCTCAGGTGTTCGTGGACCAGCCTCCTTCATCCTCAGGTGTGTGATTATTCTCCTGATGGTCCCATCTCTCATAATTATCACAATGAACCGGGATCCAGGA